GGAAGAGGGGCTCGGGAGCGCGCCATACCCCACAGAGCTCGTCAGCAAATCGTTATCCAGGCCGAAAGGCAATAAAGGCACCGGGACACCTGAGCACGGGAGACAGGGGCTGCATCCAACCCCCTGCCCCAGCGCCAGTGGCTGGGGAGGCTGCTGCGGGCAGAGGCCAAGCCACCCGTGTGCCATCTGCCATCAGCGTGCTCAGGCCAGGGCAAGCCAGGGAGAGGACAGAAAAATGTCGGTCTCAAGATGCTTGGGCTGAAAAGAGGCGTGTGGAGCCAGGGAGTGTTGGGCTGGAAGCGAGATGCAGCTGTCAGAAAGGTATGAAACACTGTTGTCTGCCCAAATAGGGGCGCGTGGCTGTGGTCAGGAAAAGCCTGTATGTAATTAATTCAGCATGTGCTTGTGTAAAGATGCACAAGTGCTGCTACAGCGCTGCAATTAAAGCAAATATCAGTCCAGGATTAAGGGCTAATGTCTATCTTATTTAGCTAGCTGGCTTATTAGGAACACACATAACCTGTGCAGTGCCTGTATGCATTATTAGCTTACCTGATGAAAATAGCAACTTGTCCTATTGAAGGCACTTAGTAAAAATAAATGTGAGGGAGGGCGTGTAAGAGCTGAGCTGGATGGGCAGGAAGAGGAAGAGGTCTCATATGATGAGGCCCTCAATAAAGAATATGAATAAGCAAGGTTTGTGGAGAACGACAGCCTCTGTTTTGGTTGTAGAACATGAACGGACACAGACAGGCAAGAGAGCTGCAGGGTTTTGTCATTTGTATGGGTATTTCTTGAGAAAAACATATGGGAATAGTATAGAAACGTGTGTGTGTGTGTGTGTGTGCGTGCTCCTACAAACACACATGTACATACAAATATATAGAGTGTGTGCATGTCGTTTATAATATATAGTGTAAATATATATGCATGTCTAGATAACTACATATTTATTACATATGTATGACTGACTGATGAATTATTAAGAGGTCTTACATCACATGTCATGATGAAAGAGCTACTATTAAAAATCCACACATAAAATAATCGCATAAAAATGAGGCCGTGCTCCTTTCATCTTTGACTGATACCCTGCGTGAAGCAGCTCTTCTCATGCCAGTCAGATGTGCTTAGAGACATAGGATGATTAAGATTATTTGGATTATTGCCACCACAATAACTGTGATGATCTAAAGGGGCTGAAGGCTGGTGCGGTGACTGTGATGGCCTGAAGACCTACGTAAGCAGAAAAGCAGAACGTAAATTTTCAAGGAAAAAAAAGAAGAAAAAGCTTTGCTTACCATTAAATGCCCTTAAAAGTTTGAGTGCATAGGTCCACCAGACAGCCGGGGAAGGGCTGGCTTGCACAAAGCAGGTCAGGGTGACGTTCAGCCCCACCGGGACTGTCAGGTTGGTGTCAAGGGCTGAGGTCAGGGGCTTCATGCAGCTGTTGAGCTCCACTTCATGAAAAAACTTCCCTGCCCTGAATTTCGGGCTTGAGCAAGTTAAATAGGAATTCATCAGAATAATAGGTGGGCCGATCGACTTGATAAACTGGACAAATCCCCGCAGACGACAGTCGCAAATCCAGGGATTGTCATGAAGGGCCAGGACGGCGTTGGAAATAGCTTCTATCTGCCCCTCTGCCCTCTGGCTTCTCTGGTAGATGGGCCAGCTGTAGAAGACATCCCTGGATATGATGGTAAGCTGATTTGAGGATAGATCTAAATAGGTCAGGTTGGGCAGATAGCGGAGCGCGTGTTCTGGAAGGACATCCAGCCGGTTGTGCTTCAGATCCAGGATTTTCAGAGCCGGGGTGTCTTGAAATGCTGTCCATGGCACCGAACTTAATTTGTTCCCTTGCAAGCGCAGCTCCTTCAGAGCCGGCAGATATTCCAAGCTCTTGATGTGCATCACTGTGATGTTGTTAAAATTGAGCCAGAGATACTCCAAGGCACTAACGTTTTCAAAAGACCCGCGAGGCAATTCTGTTAGGTGAGAATTTTCAATTCTAATTTTCCGGATGTCCTGAGGGATGTTTGCAGGGATCTGCCTCAGCAGTGTAGACATGCAGAGCAAACTCCTAAGGAGGAAACCAGAAGACTTCTCCAGGTCACACAGCACGTTCATGGCTAACCAACCAGTTCCCTATACAGGTCTACAAGCACTTGAATAATTATAAGGTATTGTATGCAAGACATGCATAAGCCATACATCCATCCTTCCGTTGGATTTTACACCCATTTTCCCACAAAGACGACAATTAAGTCATAAAAATTGCTACATATGCAACTACATATCTCAGGGAAATAAGAGAAATCTCATTCTATGCTCAAGCTAGTACTATTCAAGAATTAGAGGAGGCATACCATGCGGCCATCTGTTTGGTTTTGGTGCTCGCAACATCGGCAACTATATATTGGGAATCGCCAAGCTGCTTTGCTAGTGCTGCAACTAGGGTAACTACCGTTCTTACCTTCCAAAGCTGTCTTGAGAACAAGAGCATCCTGTGACACAAGATGAAACAGATGGGTTTATCTTGTGGACGGCCAGAAGAAGAAGGAAAATATGACAAATAGGGTCCATATTCTCTTTAAGAAAGCAGTGTGCAGGGTTTGCACCACACATGCCAACAGCCTCCAAGAAGCAAATCCTATTAGCTGTAATCTTCCTTGACGCAGAAATAAATCCTCCTGGAGACCCGACCCTAAAGAAGACGTGTAGTATGGTTCATAGCCTGTGTCGAAGTGCTAAAAATCACCCCTGGGACCACTCTTGGCATTTATTCTTTAGCTGCGGGGATTCTGACAGACGTGTTTATTTGGTTGGTAATATGAAGATGGAGCCAAAACCGCTTCTGTTCCTAAGCCCTTACAAGTACTTGACCAGGCCTATTTAATTGTTTGGTTTTTTTTTTTTTATTTGAAGGAGTCTGTCTCAGTCTCCTATATTTTAATAGCATTTATCAAGGCAGAAAAGGGCCAGCCTTCACAGCTGTAATTTGTCAGCACTTAGTGCCGTACTGCACGACCCATCAGGCCCCCAAACCTGCCCACAGCTCTGTGCAGGGTGCGCTACTGCACATGGTGAGCGCGAAACCTATTCCTCAAACTTAGTTGTTCTGTCATGGAAACAGAAGAAGTACAGCGCTATTTTTCCTCTGAAACAACTTTTTTTCCCCCCCCACTGTCTCCATTCTTACACTTTGATAATGAAAACAGTAGCACAGCTATAGCCAGCCTGTGGACTTCTCTGAGAAAAATAATATCTTGGAAGTTAATCTCTATTGTATAAATATAAAATTTCAGTGCTATTCTGTGGCTTCCCCGTAAGACATGCCAGTTGTTGCCTTTCGGTCACCTTGAAAAACCAAATCTAAATAATTCTATGAGAAGGGATTTGGAGTTACCAAATTTATTGATCTTTTTTAAATCCAAAATAGCAGGTTTTGGTTATAATTTCCAAGCAGCGCTGCATTCTCCTGGGGCCATCTAGTGTGTATTGGCTTCATTACAGCCCGCCAAAGGCAGCATACCGCCGGAAAAGGGCTTAGCCTCGCTGCCAGTCCGTGTGAAGCTGGGTCACAAATCAAGATTAGCCTGAACCTACTTAACCTCTAACCTACGGGACCAGGATAGAAAAATATTTGTAGTGTGACAGCTTAGATCTATACGTGGCTGTCGGGGCGTGTGCAATAGCGTAGCCACAGTAAGCCTACAGAAGACGTAGGACTGATTCTGAGGCTTTTAACTCAACAGGCGCTTTGCTTTCAAAGCGAAAACAGCAAAACGAACTGGTGGGGAAACCACCAGGGACTGTTGCAGCGCTTCGTGATTGCCTCCTGTGTACAGGCAGCTGGCTGCAAGTAGTGGGCCTGTTGGGCTGCCATTGCTCGCTATGCCCAGCATCTAACCAGGAGCATATGGGATATTTTTTTCTTTTTAAACTGAAATGTTCCGTATTTGTCCACAGTGTAGTACTTGATATTTCAACAGCTGCCCTACATTTTAACGTGTCAGTAAGCCAGGAGTGAAGGAGAAAGGCTGCTGGTCTGTATAGCACAGCAGATGCAGCAGCTATAAAGCCCCCACCTGACTCTGGTGGCCACTGGGGACATTTCTTGGTGAAGCTGTTGCTGTTGCAGTGAGAGTAGCACCAGCACAGACCCCGTCAGCTGAGGCAGACACTCCTTATGCACTTTCAGTGTAGCTTAAGCAGCAAAGGGGACACCCATCAGTGGGGCGGGCTGGCTAAACTGGGAGCGCTGCAGGAGGGACACCAGCAGCTGCGATGGGAGGATGTGTCCTTCCCAGTCATCCCTCAGCCGCTGCAGCAGAGGAACCCCATGTTCACCCTGCATTGGCATGGGCCTCTGGGGAGACAAACACCACACTCACCAGTGCCTTTTGTCCTCTCCTGTAGTCTGCCATGGAAAGATTCCCTAATAAAACAATATTTTTGTTGTTATTATTATTATTATTATGCCTGATCTTATTACTTGGTAATAACGGTAGTAAACAACATACAACTTGGTTAGAAAACAGCTGGGAGCCAGGGGCAAACCTGGGGTTTGCCTGTGTGTGAGCTTCAGGGTCTGGGAGAGAAAAGCTTTCAGCAGTGGCAGAAGAAAACCAATGTCTTGGTGGTACTCAGTGCTCGAGGTGATGAGGCACTTTCCCATGATGAGGGAAATGGCCGAAGTCCCCCCAGGTCATTGGCTTGTCCAGTCATGTTGTCCAGGCATTCCCAAGGTGATGGAGATGCCCATCAGTGTGACGGAAACAGGCTAGAAAACTGCTCACTCCGAGAGCTGCGCATGTGCCACTGGCAAGGCCGCTGGGTTGGGACAGTTTGGTTGTCTCCGGCACCAGGTGGGCCAGCAGGAGGGATTCATCACTTCTAAGGCCCAACTTTGCAAAAAACTCCTTTGCTTACAGGGGAGGTGTCTCCTTTGCCACCTTCACATCCTTCCTCCATGGCTCACAGGGAGGGTCTTAAAGTACATGGCAGCTAGGTCATGCCTTCAAAAAAATCTTTCATTAAAAGCATTATTTATTAACAGGTTTATACAGAGTAAAAACAATTGGTGGTCTGCGTCCCCTACATACATATTTGGGCACAGTACAGGTGCATAGTAATGCCCAATGTCCTGGGATGTAGCAAGTAAAATTTCACCCAGGCTCCTCTGTTAGAAAGAAATACATTAATTTAAATAAATGAGCTGGTTAACAGAAACAAAAAGAATTGCAGTTGTTTTCTTTCTCCCACATGAGCTCTCCCCCCCAGTTCCACCTATCTTCTACAAGGCTGGAAAATGGCCTTTCAAAGTCACTACCACGGGCCAATGCTCCGGCTGTTTTCAGGCTGATATTCATTTGCTGCTTGAGAGGCCATTTCTCTAAATATTCCCAACCCACAAGCGTACTCAGAAGGTTCATTATTAACCTGAGAAACCAGTGCTGAATTACTTATCAATATCAGATTAATTACCGGGTATACAGTCTACCCACTCTCTAGGGCACAGCGAGGTGGGGAAAGAAAAGAAGGGGGGAAAAAAGTAAAGGAAAAAAAAAAACAAACCCTAAACAGTGTTAGCCACAGTGTTATGTTTATGCTCCCTACTGGAGGGGGATTTTTGTTGCCTTTTTAATTCAGCCCAGTTTATGCCTGCCTGTAAATTTAATGGTCACTTTTGTGACAGCAGATGTCCACTCAGTTCAGCTGCTCTTTAACGTCGTGTGGCATCCTGGCCAAAGCCAAAACGCAGAACAAGCTGTCTAAAACCCAAGCTGTCAAAATAAATCTCCATAGAGACATTGTCTGCTAATCTATGGGAAGTGGAGTTTAAGAGACTGCGCTGATTGCCAAAGCAAACGCCAAAAGGGCGCCCATTGTGTGCTCCCAGCAATGTCGAGGGAGTCAAACTCCATCTTGAAACGACAGGCACACACATGTCTGTAGGAAATCAAGTCCAGGCTGATGCTTTACAATTCCAGTCCCTCTGTCAGGGCTATCAGCGTTAGAAATCCCTGCTGGGGAGGACATACGAGGTGAAGGCTGCAGTTGGTATTTTGGATACGGTGCATGTAACACCAAATGGTACAGGCTTGAAAAAAACAGCTTTGAAAAAGAGGAGGGTGACGTGAAAAGAGGTAAATAAGACTTTTCCTTCACAAGCCTTCAACAACAACAGCAGCTGTACAAACTTGCCAGTCTTTCCCCAATTTTTCTGAGTAACCCAATGCCCCCTGGCAGGGTCCCCTGGGGCACCGCAGCTCCAGCTCCACCACAGCAAGTCCCGCAGAGAGCTGGCAAAGGGGCACCACCCGCCCCCTTTCACCCTCTGGAGGAAAGGAAAGGCTTCTTCTCTTGCTCAGGGCACTTCAGGGCAGGAGCAGAGTCCATCTCTAATGTCAAAACCAGGAGCCAAGGGCCAACACACTCCCGTGGGCTGCGGCTACGGTCGCAGCAGCCCCACGTCACCACCAGCAGCCCCTGGCCCTTGGGAAACATGGGCACCACACCAAGGCTCGCTGCCGCTTCTGAGAAGCTCCTGATCCTGCTCTCTGGGCTGTAAACACTTATTTCTTACCAGTTTGAACCTTTGCTGGCAATTGCTAAATTCTTTCTTTTTAATTTTGATTAATAGGAAAGTAAAGGGGGGGGGGCAATTCTTTTGCTCTGCTTTGGGCAACAAAAATTTGCGTCTTCTGTTCATGGCCTTTAAAGGTTGTGAAGCTCCCACTAAGCCACAGTACTGTAGCACTGACTGTTGATTAAAAACATCCTGAAACTTTTCTGACATTCCCAGAACACTCTGACATTGAGGGACTTTGACATCAGCTTCTTCAGGAGCTTTTTAACCTTTAGATTTTAGTTTACCATTGGAATACTTTCAAAGTCATTCTTCAATGTCCATTCATTTTTTAAAATATCTTGAAAAATGTTTTACTGTCCTTGACATTTTTGGGTTCTTCATTTTTTTTCACAAATTTATATATATGCACATGCACATTTTTGTGTCCTACATTTTTTAATCATTTAAAGACCTTTTAGTCTATTTTTTCTAGGCACACAGAAATAAACGTGAAAGTGACCACACAAGGCAATTAAAGCCTTCCAACATGTTTAAATCACATTGTGGAAATAAGGTGTTTGTCAGTCTGACCATTATTTTACATTTGTGGAATTTTTATACATATGTGGCATTAAAAATATTTGCAGAGACTTTATAAGTCAGAGCCAATGTTAGCCTTTGTCTGGGTCTACTCACCAGATAATCTGGACACTCTTTAAGATGTTTGGGAAAACATATTTCAAAGCCTCAACATGTTTCTTTACATTTCTTCTTGTGCTTCAACTACTTGCAGTACTCCTTTTTAATCACTTTGGGCACATTATTTCATTTATATTCTGCTCGGTTACCTCATTTTGATAGCTGCTTTTCTCCAGATCCTTTTAAGAAAAAGAAATAATAACAATTTTTCAGTACAGTTCAGAGCTATTTGGATTCATTTTGAAAACACAATTACCTTCTTTTTTAAACCTGATCCTTAATTTTTCAATTTTACACTAATCTGATTTCCAAAATAAGTATAAAAAGATACTGTGGCTGGAGGAGCTTGTCTTTGTTATATATCACATGAAGTGCCCATTGAGGAGTGGCTTGTACTGCCCTCCAAAGCAGCTCAGCCCGGGCAGCCGGTGCAAACCTCCTGCCTAATAAGCACAGATGGACAGTTCCTTTATCCTAAATATTACTGAAGTGGTCCAACACTCACCTGAGAAGAAACTTTGTAATGGTTTAATAGTAAAAGTAGAGAATATAATTGTACTCCAAGAGATTCCAAAATATATTGCTTGACAGTGCCAAAATACTTGAAATAGACCCCCAAAACCAACAAATTGATCAAAACCATACAAAGATATTAACAGAGGAAACATTTTCCAAGGAAAAAGAAAAACAAACAGAACAAAGTGTCAAAAAACAATTTAAAATGCTACTAATGCAGTAATTCCAAAAGATATTCAGGTTCTTGTTTCAGTTCTTACAGCACATGTCTGGCCAAGGATTGACTTTAACCAAGTAAGAAATTGTTTCCAGGGATGAATATTCTCCTTGCCTGAACTCTGAGCCAGCTCCATTCACATGTCTTATGACCAGAGAGGGAAGCTTGCCTGAGCTAACCCTGCTGAAACTAGGTGCCTAATACCCCTTTGGTTAAAACAACAACAAAAAAATCCAGTGAGGTATTTATCTGCCTCTTTACATGCCTCATATCACTAAAAATCTGACCCAGAGCCTTGAAAGTCACATTCAGCAGAAAATCAGTTTACTTAATGGTTTGAAATTTCACCCGCAGTTTAGCAAGTACAGGGTTTCTCTTCTGACCAACACCAGACGACACAGAGCTTATACAAGTTTCTATCTATTGTCTATCTTGTGTGAATCACCAGTGCAGTACAGAGAGAGGCTTGTTTTGGGGCAACAGCAGTTGAGATGCTAAACTGTGTTGCCTAACGTATGAGAGACTGAGAATAGCCATAGGAAATAGAAAAGAAAAATCATGTTTGTTCTACTTGGGATCGCTGTTTATTCAAAGTGCAAAAAATATCCCACAGAGTCTGTAAAACAACACATCCACAGGGAATGTCACAGGATGACCTCTCCATCCTCCCCTCCCAGCAAGCAAAGAGCGACAGCGCTGGCCCAGCCACTGCCTTTTTCTTTCCCGACGTACAGACTGTGTGTCGGAGCATGCACTGATGGAGCGGGCAAGAGCTGCTCCTCACCAGGGCTGGATGTGGCAAATTACCCAGCTCGTGCCTCCAGGCAGCCAAAAGGTAAATACCTCTTGTTCCCAGTCCGCTCCTGCAAACCTGACTTACAGGAAAGTCCTTGGGCAGTAGGTCCGCTCCGTTCACCGCCGGAGAGCTTTAGGACAGCCTTGATCCTTCAGGGCTAGCTTATCCATCCAGGGCCATGTCAGGCTGATTTCTGCACAGCCCAGTGATACTGCTGCAGATGTAGGCAGGAATCAGGCTCAGTGATACAGCAATCCTTGCAACTCTTCCCAAAAACTGCTACTGGAAAAATATTTTTGTTCTACCTTGGAGAGAGACTCTAAAAATCATCCTGGGAAACGTAACTGTATAAATAAGTAATAGATCTATTATACTACATATTTCATCAATGAATTTGTTGTATTAAAATACATAATTTTGCAAAATGTTATTTGTAAACTTAAAAATCTATGCAGTCCAGTGATAGAAGTAGCATGCATTATTTTATACAGGGATTGACAAATTCTCCCAATACAAGAGAAGTTCTTTATCATTAATGTAAGGAATACAGGGAGTCCTATCAGAAACTATTGTAATGTATCCCCTGTTGCTAGAATTTATGCTGAGATCAAATGACTTGCTTTTTCCATCAGGCCAAGTAATCTGACACAGCTGTAACCGTTCCGTACAAGGAGGACTTGCAAAATCCATACAGGCTTCCATTCCAACCAGTGAATTTTGTTAACCCACACTGTACATACATATCCAGAATGTGAGTGGAGCCCTTCCTTCCAAAAAATTTAGAAATACACATTTCAAAACAATTCAGCAAGCTTTACCAGTTATCATTTCAACTTGGCTGGATCCCTCCCATTCAACATTTGGCAGAACATATATAATTTTCTTCATGAAGAATATTTATTACAAAGAGAAAAACATTATATACAGTATTACTACATGAGGGACTGGAGTGGAAAATTATACAGCTGGGAATTGCTTTGTGATAAGCACTCAGATCCAAATTCCAGTGGAGCTGCAGGACTTAAATAACTGATCAGCTCACCCTGGCTATCAAAGTACATTTAGATGAATATTAGACAGTTTTTTTCAGGGTTCTTGAACTTGTAAAATATTTGAAACCCAAAAGTCTGCACTGAGCCTCTGCCACCACTGATGCCATGGTGGAAGTATGG